TATTTCTTTATCATGGGTAAACATTGCTTATGTGCTTGACAAAGTTTCTCGTCAAGATATCCAGATAAGAATTTTTGAAGATTTTTTGGAAAAGATTTCGTAAAATTTATTACCATTGCTCTTCTGCGCAGTATGTATTGTTCGAGATTGTTATTGAGTTCTGAAGGTAATATACGAAATTTGATATTATTTCTCATATATTGAGGATAAACTACCGCAAGTGGTTGAAGAGAATAGGTTATCGGAGGATAAGAATTGAACTTCTTCTTAATTATTTCTAATTTATGAAGAAGTGTAGACATGTTGTTTAAACCAGTTAAATCAGATATGTTTGAATAAACTATGATATTAATAATTTTTCTGAGTCGATCGTTTTCTTCAGTAGTTAATAGTGAAATAATATCATTATCATTAGATAGAGATTTACTAATTTTTTGAAGTATATGATCAATTCCATGAATGAAATTAGTTTCTGATGGTAATTGCAAAACGACAAGAATATCGATTCCATAGTTGACACTAGTAATTATATGAGTAGCAGGCTTTATTGAATTGATTAATTTCAGATTTCGTATGGTGTCATTAGATATTTGTTCTTCTCTATCAACCCAAGAATAATATAAAATACGTGTATATTCATTTATTCGATAAGGATAGTTCAAGATCGCAGCTATTCCAATCTTAGGTGTTAAGTTCAATAATAAACTCAATCGTAAATCGCTTTCAATGTCAATCATTCGAAGAATATTACGACTTGCATCTGAATTACCATCTATAACTAAGCATTTTGCTAATTTAGATGGCTTGAACGATTGTTTTGGGATATTTCTCTTATCTTGTACAAGTAAACAATCTCGGCAACTGTCATAAAGTGAACCAAGACATCCGAATGCATTAATGGCTTTACGCTTTATAGCAATTGATGATGAATTATCCGATAATACTATCGACTGCTTTGATAGCATAACAGTAATGAATGAATACTACGTAAAATTATTATCTAAAACATCGATGAATTCTTTCGTTTATGTGTATGATTATTAAAAATATTTAAAAAATGTCAATAAACTAGTAATCTATTCGTTGTTTGATTTCGAAATATTTTATTGTAAATCTTAAACTTAACGAGACAGACTTCATTATTATCATCATAATTTATTTAGTCATGGATACCTATCACGATAGTTAATAGACAGATTGTATAATATATCTGCTTAAATGAATTACTGAAATCAATTTTCAAATATAATAAACATACGATTATGCCCTTAGTAGAGTTCTTAATGACTTTATTAATATAAAGAATCTCTTTAAAGTTTTATTTCGAGAAGAAAAGGAGTAAATCTAACTCTTTTCTTTTTTTTTGAAAAATTGACTTACCATTCTGTAACTACCTACCTGGTTAACATCGATTTACATATTCCTTTTTCTTTCTTAGTAATGATGAATTTCGATTTGCTTATATTACATGCAACAAATATTATTTAACCTTGGAAAATGTTTGTTCACTTTAATACTAAAGAACGAAAAAGAAAAAAAATTAATGGAGTGAATGACAAACATTTTAACACAGGAAAAAGAACCCTTCTTCCGACCGCAGAAAAATAGTTGCTTTCAATGTCATTTGTACAATCGAACTGCCACAAAGCAAATGTACATCGAAACCATTTATGTTCTCTTTTAATAAAATAGTATAATGATCTAATTTGTAAGAATAATGAAATAGAATAAGTCTTCTTTTTTTTCTAACGTCAAAAGTATTTCTATATTGAAAAGAAAAACTAAATATGCAATTATTTCTAGTTTAAAAGAAAGAATCTTAATCTGAATTTTTATTTTAAAATTTTTGCAATCTGATAAGTTGTAGGATTTCTTAGTGATACGATTGTTTATTTGTCAGCCAATGAAAACTTTCATAACTATTGAAAAAAAAAACTAAAGTAAAACAAATCGTTATAGGCTTCTTTTCAAAGTCTTTAGATGTAAACAAACTAACTTTCGTTAAGTTGCAATTTATATTTCATATGTCACTCAAATCATAATAAAATCAAGGTAAAAATGTAGTTATGTAAAGCATTTCTTTTTTCTAAATTTTAAATTTCAATATTTGAATAAGAAAAAAAAATCCAAGGTCCATAAACATTGAATTGAATTTTGCTTTATTCATCACTATTCAAAATAGAACGAAGAATTGTTCCAAATCCATCGTTAAATAAATTGATAGTTACTGTTTGATATTAATGAAGATTATGTGAACTAAAATGAAGTTCTTTCGATTCCACATATATACGACAATTTTGTGAATTGGTATTTATCTACTAATTATTGAATACTCAAATGTATCGTTTTCATGTGTTCGATATGTCCATGAAGTTAAAAAGATGTTTATTTTTTAATCTTAGAAAAATATAATTCAAATTGAGATTAGAATTTGTACAAATGCTCATTTAATTCATTGGAATTTTTCTAGAAGTATATAAATCATCTGAATTTTTAATAAATATTTTTTTAATAATTTATTGTTACTTGTATAGCATCTCATACAGTGCAAGAGAAACAAAATCTATCTACGAGGTATATCTGTAGTTTTCCTTTAAAGAATATATCTTTATATCAGTATGATCCATTTCTACCAACATGATGCATGACTATCGACCATTGGGCTCTGATTCTTCGCAAAGATTCGTTTCAGAACAAATTTTTTTTATCATGAATATATATTAAAATGTCGGCTCTTTGACTGCACACACATCAAATTAAAATTGATTAGTTCATTGGTGAAAAAATTGTCACTCTTATAATAGAAAAGTCCAAGCATTTCAAAATAACCTTGATGCCCCGAACGACGTCTTTTGTGAAATTATCATCAACAAGATTGTACTTCAAACATGTGTCTCTCATATATACACCGCCTTGGTGTTATTTGCTTTCTCACATTCCTGCTCTAGATCAGCCCATTATTGTTCCTTTCTACTTCATTTTTTATTCAGCTCTTCTCTTTCTCCCCAGAACACATACATACCATACATGAGAAGAATGTCGAAATCATAGCATTTTGTCACTTGCATTGCTTCTCGGACTCTGCACTTCCATTACTTACATTCATTCTTTCTCTCTCCATGTTTGATGCGATAATCAGCCAATGAGAGAATGCATTCAAAGGAAGTATAGTATAACACAAAATATAATAATACCAATATCGATCCTATTTCACTCGCACGATCGCTGTTGTGTTCAAACTGGGCTTGCTTACACACCATCGTCGCACCAAGAAATAGACGTGGTGTCAAAGATTCTATATTTGATGATATAATTATAGACTATTCATAGAGTACACTAACTTTTCAAAACACGAGTTTTGAAAGCAGATTCTAAATAAAATACCATCAGTTGTTAGTTTTAAGTCGTTTGCACCTGAACAACATCATTAAAAATCTCGAGAAGATCTTAGGAATATAGAACATAAAATTTTCTATTTATTGATGCTAAATACTTTACAGTTAGCATTGAATCTAATGATCACAAACTCGCACAAATCGTTATATGTCCGCAGAAAATAGCAGGAGACTGCAGTTAGACAATGAAGCAGCAGTCAATGTTTTCAAAGTTTTCGTTGACAAGAAAAACTTGTTTAAAAAACGAAGTCCACATTTTTGTAGAGTGAAAAATTCCCTACGAAATGAACTGGGAATGGTGTCTTTAAATAGTGTTTTCATTCTTCAAAAACGGAAAAATCAAACTTGTCCCACTATTTATGAGCCGCCCGTTAGTATAGATGTGGCGTGGTTATTATTGTTACATTCGTCACATTCACACCCACATTCACTATGAATTACTTTTTCAGCCGAGCTAATAAGCTTCATTGAAATGTTTCTCAAACTTGTATATTGTACTTAATTCGAAATGAATATTAAAAGTTCTATTGAGTTTAATAGTGAAATCGATTGGTCAATCTTGGTACTTTTGTATATGCTCGTCGAATATCGCACTATAAGAAAAAATTCATCGATGCTATCGAGATGATTCTTTTATTCTCATTCAAAATAGATGTCAATCAAGTTACATAAGTTTACAAACTCTAGAAGAAGGTAAAGACGATGATACAGATTGAGATGTTGTATGCATTAATGGAAGATAAGGTTTAATTTCATGAAGAAAAGTAAGATAATCACTAATTGGTAATGATCTATGATGGACATCTGCCAGTTCACCTTTCAATGATTGATACATTGATTCACGATTGATCATACAAATATCATAGAGCTCTAAAAGTCGATGTCCATCCAGTTGTGAACATAGAAGAAACATAGTATTATCAAGTCCGTTTGTTCGAAAAAATGATTGAACGTGATTATTAGTCCATTGAGTGATACAATGAGGTAGTTCACTAAATAAAGAAACAACGTACAATGAGAAAATACAAACATGGATCTGTAACTGTTACTGATAGTTTTATTCTCTGGTAGAAGTCGTCTGTGCAATCGAAATTTAATTTCATTTAGATTCAATTAGAGATTGAGAATCAGCTCGACTCGATTGGTACATAATTGACAACTACTCCTATGATCTTAAAATCGACCAAAAAAAAAAGTCTTTTTCTGTAAAGATGAGCGCTGGTCATGTTCTGAGAACAAGTCTATTTGAATACTATCTTCGAAATTATTGCTTCAATTTTGAAAAACTTCATTTTCATTGTAATCTTTATTAGAAACAGCTTTCGATTTTATGAATTTTTCAATTACAAGTTGCAAAACACAACTCACATGATCGAAGGTCTTCCACTTAGTATCGAAGTTTCTTCAACGGGTTTAGAAATGATAGAAGATATATCTTGATGATTGTTTTCTTTGGATTTTACCATCGAATAATTCATATTCAGCTGACGATATTGATTGATTTCTTTTTTTAATTTCTCATAGGCCAATGAAAATTCGAGCTTGACAAAATCTACATAGATTTTACCACTTACCATAATACCAAGCCATCCATCAGGTTTATAACAAGGTTTCATAATAAGCGGTATCAAATGACAACGTCGTTCAAATGCATAATGTGCTTCTGATTGACAATAAACACTTTGTTTATATGTATCCGACATACATATGAGAACAAATTCAGAATTTTCGATAGCTTCTGCCATAGCAATCATTGTAGCTCCATGCATATTATCACGATCGATCCAAACACTAAATCCATCTTGAACAAGTCGTTCATGAATTTGATAACATAATTGTCGATCGCTATGTGAATAACTGATCATAATATCATATTTATGCAATTTTGAATTAGTCAATTTAGTAATAGCTTCAATTTCTTTGTCTAATTTCCAAAGGAGAGTTTCGGCAGCTCGTTGTAAATTTGATTTATTTGAATGGATATTATTGACAAGATTTCGAATAGTTGTCATAAAATTTGTATTTTGTCTTAAAATTGATGAAGCATCATTATTAAATGAAAGTGCAAGAAGAATTTCGAGAACTATTGGTTTTATTTTAATCGAATCAAATTCAATTTCAATTATACATCGTATAAGTAATGGAAGTGCATTTTGTTTTATTAATTCAATTTTGACTTGATCATGTTGAACAAAATCTAAAGAAATTACATCGTATAAAGAAATCAGTAATCATTAACAAAATGTAACTTACTTTTTAAACTTAGTAGTATACTATAAAATCGTCCTTGTTTCTTTGGATCATCAATTGTATTCGTAAGAAATTTAACATAGACACCCGTAATTTTACTTGGACTTGCCATGGTTTTAATATCTGCTTCACTCATCAATTTACCTAAGCAACGATAGGTATTCAATTGTGTTTCATCTTGTTGAACATCAGTCATTTGAAGTAACATTGGAATTAAATTCGGTATAGTTTTCATAAAATTTAGTATATTTGGCTGTAATGTAAAATCGTATAAATGTTGAACGATAAATCTTTTTATTGAAATAATATCTGAATCATCTGATGTATAGTTAAGTGCCGATGATAAAAATGATGACCAATGAGAAACTAATTTACAATAATCATTATAAAATTCTTCATTTGAAATATTGTCATTTTCCCATTCGATAGGACGAACAAGTACATTATGCAAATGACGTAGTATATTTCCAAAATTCTTAGAACAATAAATAATTGAATCTGAAGGACAATTTATCATCCATTGAGTAAATGGGCTCAATAATATTCGTGGTATTTGAAGAAAGAGATTCAAATCACGATTAGTTGAATACCATTTGAGATACAATGGACATGTACTAAGAAGAAGTATATGGTCATGATTGAGTTTTTGAGAAAAATTATTTTCCAATTTTTTTATCATTTCAATAGAATATGAAGAACATAAACATTTAATAACAGCCAAACACATTGAAGTCATCGATGAATACTCATTTGCTATACTTTGTAATCTATTAAAATATTGATATGCCATTAGTAGGAAATGAATTGAATTTAGAAGAAGAAAATCATCTAAATATTTGCCATTGATACCAATCTCGTTGAGACAGTTAGTAAGTTCATCGATTAAAGGTTGATGGAAAAGAAGTTGCTTAAATAGATGAGTATTGGTATTATTGATATGACGGCTGATATTTGCAAATAATGCTGATAGATCAGATAATAATTCGTATGAAATATCTTTATTTTGTCTTTGACGAAGATAATCGACAACGACAGAATCACGTAGGATGATAAAAAGTGGATGTGTGATGAATTCAGACCCGGCAAGTTGCTTATTCTTGGATGAAAAATAAGTTAATGAGGAAACAATTTGTTTGATCAATGTAATATTCATAGTAGAACTATCAGACTTCTTTATTTCAGAAACAAATGCATCTAATGATGCTTTAAGTTGTTCAATACTAATGGTTGTTACTTGTTCTCGAATTATAATACAATGTTGATTCGCCAGAGTGTTCATTTCTAATTACGCACTTAAAAAGAAAAAACAAAGTATATAATGATAGTTCAAATATTTTTTGAACAAGTTCATAATTCGAAGACATTAAAAACAAAAATGCAAAAATCATCCTTATAAACGACTTAAATTACCTATGTCGTACATTTACCTCGGTAGTTGAAGAAATCTTCGGTACACCGACAATCAAAAAAAAGTGCGGAAGTAGATCGGTGTAGGTGTATTTTGTTCTCTTTTTTATCCCTAGTAAAATTTTCTGTAGAGTCAGTTGGATTGAATTGTAGTCCTTTTTTATAAGGTGGTTATAAACTATATTTTGATATATTTCTATTGTTATATCTTTGTTATTATTTTAGACATTCATACCAAGCATAATATTTTATAAATAAAAATGATCAAGTAAAGAAAAACCAGCTGCTGCTCATTATATCTGCAATTCATAGCCTGATAATTCTAAGATCAAATGTATATTGTCATAGACAACAAATTAGCAGTTAAATGAAAAATTCATTTAACTGCTAATTTGTTGTTTATGATAATGTATCTTTGATCTCAGAATCATATAAGGCCATAGGTCAGCAGATCCGAATCCTAATGCTACCGATTAGCCGCTGGCATAGCGTACATTACACCGAATAGTCTACCGACAATTTTTCCCCGATTTGAGTCATATGGATATGGTTAGAATTGAATTCAAAAAAAGTTGTTTTCTAAGACAATACACTAATTTTCAACGCAGCAGTTAACAGACGATCTATTCAAATTTCTAAATGGTGTACAAACAAACTTCGATGATTTCCTTCGGAAGAACAATAATTTTTAAAAAGATACGAAAAATGAAAAAAAAAAATATTATTGTTTCATGTATATCAGTGTCTATTGATATAGTTTTCTCTCGAAGTTACATTCAAAATCTATCCAGAGTTAGTAACAACGATTGAGTATCATTCTTCAATGAAGGAGACTTGTTTCTTATGTTTCTTTGAGATAGTAATGACATTTTTAGTTATCGAATTGCGTATATTACTAAAATGTTCGATTAGAGAGAAGTTATTATTGTTTCTAATTCTATTATTTAAAAATCTTTTAACATAACTATGGCACAACGATACATTCAAGTCTCAACGAAAGTTAAATAGTAAGATAGTTCGACATGTCCATGCATATTACTCATCAATAGTTCAATATGATTTATACCAAAAGAAAAGCTTGATTATTAACCATAGTCCTTACAAAATAGCAAAGGATTTTCAAATTTTGTTTCACAATATAAACATATCGATCAAAAAATATTAACGTAATCTATCTGTTATTGTCTGCACATTACATAATAAATGTAATAAGTGATAATGCTACTTAAAGATTGTTTTTTTTTCTTCCATAACTTCAAATAGTTATCTTGAATGGTATTACAATAAGTAACATATTTCAATGCTTGTAACTTACCTTTTCAATATCACTTAGAAGAATTAAATCAATAGGGGCTGTTGTCAGAAAAATCTGGATTTGTTTTTCAAAAATAAAATATATAACAATGCTGATTTATGTTGCTGCAACGATATTTTTTTTTCTATACCTTCCATCTACTTTTTCTCCCTCAAAATAGTCAATAAGGAGAGAACATTTTGTAAGGCGGTACTTTTTTTGCTTTTTTGTCTACGTATGATTTACTTTACATGAAAGTATGGTTACATCATACTTCTTTGCAAGAGAATATCTATTAACTTGATGGTGCCTGTATGTGTAGGATAGTGAGGTGAGAATTGGTATGAGATTGTGCATGTATGAATAGAAAGAAGATCAGCATCAGCATCCGTACACTCTTCCATTATACAGCAAAATAAATAAATGTGTATGGGGGAACTATGGTCCGTATATGATATCTGTTTCACTATATTTTCTGGCATATAGTTACCAAGATATTTGACCATTATACTCAACCATGTCTTATGACAAAATGTTGCTATTTTCAACCGTTTATACACTCCTTATTCTTCGACGTGAGACGTTTCAAGCATCCGTTTATTGTTATTTGTCTCATCGGACTTATTCTTAGGTCGAGTTTCTCTTACAATCTGAACATATTCAATAATATATTAGTTTTTCGAGAAAACAGTTCTCATAATAATAATGATTAGCAAGTGCAGAATAGAAATCAGATTTGCTCAAGCAAAATGTAAATTAGAGATGCAAAAATCATTTTACTAAAAAATTATTCCCATTTGTGACATAGAAATATTGTTCATCAGTAGTAATAGTATTTCTTGTTTATTATGCGACGAAGCAGTAAGAGCCTAACTATTAAGACAAATAGCACAACGCTGTATGTTCAGTTTCTGATTTCTTTCTCTGTGAAAATTGCAAGGAGCATTCTGTCATATGCGTGATACAAATTTTTAAATTTTTTTCTTCGCTATCCCGACGTTGAAACAAAACACCATGAAAATTTTGCGAAGCAATCGTCTTTAGTACAAAGAATGAAATTCTCTCGGTAAACAAAGAGACTTGATCTTTTTCAGTATGAAAGGAATCAAGCCTCATTTTCGGTTTGCTTGTTTTGACGACGAACATAAACCTGTGCGCTTGAAAACAAAAGTGTGAGTGTGTAATATACAGGTACTTCAAAAGGTATCTGGACACTCCGATGATTTTTCGTATTTCTTGGTTTGTGGAAGCAGAAACAAGAGGTAAAATTTTTCTTTTTTAACCAGTAGATAGTCCTTAATTCGATCTAGGTTCTCTATAAAAATCAGTAATTTTCACTATCATCTTGAATTACAAGAACGTTTTTCATGGAAATGTCCAATTTTCCAATATGTTAGATGCTCGCTTTTCTTATATCATAATTATATTATCTGCACACCGCTAGAATGAGCAAAGCAAGCTCTATCTATTGGCATAATATTTCAATGAATAATCCCAAGCATTGCTCAAAAGTTGTCGAGGAAAGGCTTGAAGATGCCGAGATACAGGTACTCAATTAGATTCCACAATCTCCTGATTTAAATTCCAATCGAGCATCTCTTGGCGTTGTTACGAAATAAGATATTAAATCATAATCCAAAGTATCTTGATGAAGTGTGGAATTTAGTAAACAGTGAATGGACAATTATTCAAAAACATGAATGTAAGAAACTAGTTAATAATTATTCTAGTCGGCTTCGCGAAGTCATCAAACAAAAAGACGAATCGACAAAATACTAGATTGATGCTTATTTGGTAAATATTTTTGTTTGTCATTTAATATTCAAAGAAAGAAAATTTTTTTAAATTTATCGTTGAAGGTAATGTATTCAAAGAATCGTAATAAAACTTGACGACAGAAAGATACATTATTCATGAAGGTACTTATGTATTCTTTCAAGGTCTGCCTATAACATCAGTATTCAAATTCTAGCAGTGTATTTGGAAACAAATTTTGATAAAAAATTTATTACAATCTTTTACTCGCACTGTGGTATTAAGCATGTTCAAGAATTTGATTTCTTTTGAAATAGTTTACATTGTGAAATTTATCTTTCTTCAGTGAAATATTATGCCAACAGATAGATCTTGTAATTCGAGGTGATAGTCAATATTGCTGATTTTTATAGAGAATCTAGTTCGAAGTAAGGACTATCAACTGGTGAAAAAAGAAAAATTTTATCTATTGTTTCTGCTTCACAATCCAACAAATACAAAAAAACATGCAAGCGTCTGGATACTTTTTGGAGAACCTATATTTTATGAAGGAATAAAAAGTATATATTTTTGTTACAATAGTCGATATTCAGCTGATATAATCATTTTGCGTGATGTAACATTCGATTTTAGTGAACAATAACAGATTGGAGAGCATTATGTCTGTTACTCATTCTCGACTATCATACACTATTTAGTTGATTCATAAGAAATCACTTTGAGTCATATAAAATGAATGAAAAGTCTAAATGTTATGGAAAACTATAAAAATCAACTAAACTATGTAATCAACTGTGACTTAAACACTCAAAAAATAACTGTTATCGTCATATCAAATTTCAACAAGCTTAGAATATCATTGCCTGCAGTAAAATAGAGAGCTCGTTGCTGGTTTTTGTTTTCTTCTCTACAATGCTAAGAACGAAATTTACTTTTTTCTTCATTTTCATATGAGAAAAATAATTTTCAAAGTATTAATAAAGCTTAGTTATGATGAGTAGCAATTGAGTGTTTCTCATCATGTAGCACAAAAATACAAAAGATTATTGACGAAATCGATACCAAAAATCTGAAAAAAAAACAAAACGATAACGTTTCTATTGACAGGTTTTATTGATTACCAATGGTTACCATGTTGGCGACACTTTGTGTCACGTATTTTGTGTTTTCTTCTTTTTTCTTCAATGTCGCTCAACAACAACCATTACAATATGTCGATGGTTATAGATCATCTTGCAAGTTTCATCTAGCAGGTACCTTCAATCTCATTCTTTCGGCACCTCATGGTGGCAGCCTAATGCCGAGCGATGTGCCCGATAGAACAGCAGGAGGTTGCCGTCGTCCAGGAAAATCATGTACATGGATGTATAACGATGCGTGTCTCGATGGTGAACGTTGTGCAACAACGACAGTTCAAGATTCTCTTAGCGATCAATTTACGGAGAATGTCGTCGCAGAATTGAACAATACATATGGTCTTAAACCATTCGTTGTCATTGGCAAATGGAGTCGAAAAAAGGTCGATTTCAATCGAGAAATCAACCAGGCAACACTCAATTATCCTGAATCTATCAATGCTTATCAAAGCTATCACATGAATCTTGAAAATGCCATCAATCAAATAAAGCAACAATATGGCAAAGGTCTTCTTATTGATGTTCATGGTCAAGGAGTAGGAAAGTGAGTTGTATAAGAAATCCTCGAAAAAACAATCAATGAGTTCATTTCTTTAGCTTTACAATGGTTGGATATCTTTTAGATAGTGATCTACTCAACAGAGATGATCTTCAAACAACGCTCGGTACTATTACATCAATCGAACAAATTTGTTCTTTGTCCAATCGAACTGAATGCATTCGAGGAAAAACATCATTTGGTACAATTCTTGAAAGAAACGAACTTGGCATCGCCTATCCATCAATGGCACATCCGAAACCAGGAAATGGTACTTTCTTTGAAGGTGGTTATATAACACGCAATTATATTTCAAAGATAAATGCTATTCAAACCGAATTACCATATAGTATGCGTGCTGGCACTTATAAACTTGCGAATGCTATCAAATATGCACGTACTCTTATTGATTATATGACAGTGAATAATATACTGTTGAAAAAGTAGAAATCAGGAATGTATGAAGCAATCTTTGTTGTTCATATATCGATTTTTGAATTGAATTAAATAAATGATTGACAAATGCTCAAACGATGAGCATGAAGAAGAAAACGAATAGAAAAAGCAAGTCTTTATTTCACAAACACGCATAGCATGACATTATCAAATCAGATTGTTAATCTAATATTTTCCTTCGTTAAAATTATGGCAATTTCGATGTTTAAAACATATTCAATGAAAACTTATGTTTTTTCGTCGTTGGTCTAACATGATTCTATTTAGATCTGCATAACAAACTGTGCTCAAATTGAAGTATTTTGTTACTGCTCAAGAATTACTTTCTTCTCTGTATGTATACCAGGAGATCAGCTTTCTTGATAATCACTGAAGCAGATCAAACTCAATTTCAGAGATACATATCAATAGAAAACAAGATTAGATATGTTTATGAACTAAACGATTCAATAGTAGTTTTAGTTTGTTTATTCCATCGAATCAAGCAAAATATAAGAACCATTTATAAGATGATCAAATCCATGCCGAATTTATCAATCACGATAAGATTTCTTTATCAATTCTCTTACCAAGTAATACTTCTTTAACTAGAATTTATGTTTGATAATCTTCATCACTTCGAATGAATATTTTACTAGATTTTGATCAATCTCTAATTAATGCACTGGTTAGTAAGTAGTTCAGAAGGCTCGTAAACAAATATATATGACTTCACTGATATACCTGAGTACTTTTATAAGTACTTAATCAGTGTTGATATTACTTATAGGTGACAGATCACGTACGACATTACCTACAAACAGAAGTAAATGCTCGGAACATTACTTGTGACAGAGTGTTTACCATAGTATTCACACAGTAGAAATCTTGCAAATTTTCCGATATGTTTCCAGTGGGGCTGAAGATCTGTCTTATGTTCCATCAATTATTTGGTACTTCGAAAATTCATACATCATCGTCCCTACCTCTATGATGATTATAACACCTTCACCACAGTTTTGCTATTATGGTTGGTAGAATATTTTGATAATATTTTCGCACACTGATCGGATAACAGATGATGCAAAAATTCTGTCTTAGTTTTGTTTCTGTTATAACTTTGATATGCAATATTGGAGAAATTTTATTCTTCTCTTGTTAGAAAAAGGGTGAGCATGGCTGAAGAGACGACCCACATCCGATTACACACTCACATTGACACTATCCACACCTGAAGATTGCCTTCTTTCTTCCAAAATCCTAGATCCATCATTGATTAAATTATATCAAACTTTGAACAACCCAAAAGATAAATATTTTATCATGCCGTTCACTTATTTCATGTGGAAAGATATATGAGCAATGCAAAATATTTTGTATTTTTTTGTTGATCAAGATGCAAAATGAGTAATTTATTCTTTTTATGTATATTTTTACATGTATATTAGTTGTGAGAAAAACATTGTATTGATTTATGTAAAGTATCACGTCAAAACTTTCATAAACTAATAAAAAAAGAATTTCAGCTTTTCCACCAAAAGAAATTACAACAAAATTCATATAATTGATTTATTTTCTATATTATTGAATAAATATATTTATATCTTTCAATCGGAATCTCAAAGGGAGTAAAACAAAAGGAAATATTTCGCAATGAACTTCATCGGTATTTCGAATTTCAATCTTGTCAAACAAACAAAAGTTGAAGAACTCATCAAAAGAAAGTCGTCTTTATCAAAAAATACAAAACAAATGAGTATTAATTGCTATGTGCTTTTATTATATTGATTATTTTTCCATTCATTTCTTTTGTTTTTCTATTCTTTTATAGATCTTCGGCAACAAAAATATTTGATCAAAACAAAAATTATTTTTATAGAATATTTCTATTATGTTCAATAGAAATACATTATCAATTAAGTTAATTTTATGTAAAAAAAAACAGATATTTGTATTCTGAAAATAAAAATAATACTAGTTATTATTGATAATACTGTAGATTGGTAATAATTATTTTAATCCATCAAGATTAAGGGATTATTATAATAATTGGTATCCGTTGATATGCAACAAGAAAAAGTTACATGAACATACATTATAATTTTCATATTATAGTTTCAACTGTTCCAATTTTATAGCGTCAATAGATGTGTCACAACCAAAAGAAGATGTCAACAGCATAGACGATGTGGATGCAACTTTTTAGAGAACTAGCGAACTGGTTTTCATTTCATATACACATAAGGCGTAGAAATTTTACGAAAGCAATAAGTTCCTATTACTTTCTGAGTTGTTTCTTTACTGGGAAACATTTGCTACACATTTGATTGCTGATGCGCCACCTATGGACAACGGTAATATCTATGCAAAGATGGCTACCATGTGATCATGACAATCATGAGACTTTTTGATATTTTTCTTTCCTATTTATCTCACAACACAATCCGATGAATCATTTACGATGAATAATCATGTTGAAGACATGTGATTTGCATCACATGCTCTTTTCTCCGGAAATGATGAAATATTTTTGTAATATTTTACCTTATCTTTCCAACAATTCGATGACTCAATTACGCTCTCAATAGTGTAAGTTAATATTGACAACTTGTTAAAAATTTCATATAAAGAGAACGCAACAAGTGACGAGGAAGTATTATGACTATATTTACTATATAGTGCCACATGCACGAAATGTACACATGGGATTTTTATTCTTTGCTTTGATTATGAAAGTATTTCTAGACGAGCAGAACGATTGAAAAAGTAACATACAGTCAACAATACTTAATTATATTATTGTATATTAATCTAATATCATAATCAATTCTTATTAAATTATGAATTCAAGGCAACAACGACATCAATTCTATAATTATGAATTAAGTAATAAAGAAAACAATTTATTACAGTGTAGGTAAAGTTAATTTAAATATTTAAGAATTTCTTTCATTTTATTCATTTTTTAGCAATGACTAATACGAATGAGTAAGCACAAGCAGAGAAAAAAAATGATATTTTTTTCTTTTTTATGCTTTAATATATTATTTTCCGTTTTGATTTAGACAAGTAATCACTTGTATCGAAGATTTATCTAATGAAATCTTTTATAATATTTTTGATTATCTTAATGGATGTCATTTGTATGAATCATTTGTAAATCTTAATACACGTTTTCAAAATCTTCTCATAAAATCATTTTTACCTCTTAAAATAAATATTGATTCTAAACATGAAATAATCATTGAACATCTATGTAAGAATATTATCAATCGAAATAAATCTCGTATTATTTCACTTCATTTGTCAACTACAATAGCTTCTAAACAATTTTTAAAATTAGTCACTATCAATTCATTATTCAATCGTTTACAATCACTTGTTATTAACGGTATTGTTGAACATAAACTTCAATTACTTCTTAAACAATTAACTTGTTTACCACGTTTGTGTTCATTGAATATTTTTGTTATTGGTCAATTAGAATCTTTCAATACGATCTATAAATTAATTTTTCGTTTACCTTTTTTAAAATATAATACTCTATCCTATGGACCATGGCGAGCACCTATTACATTACCAGTCGCTAGAAATGAACAGTTTAATTATATCGAATATTTAAATATCGGTATAATTATAACTCTCGTTGAAGTCATTACTATACTTTCATACACACCTAAATTACGTCGTTTAACTTGTCAACAATTGTACGGTTGCAGTCAATATATCTCAACAAGAGATATAATTAAATTACCTTATTTGACACATATAAATTTTGATCGATGTCGTTTACGATTTTCTGAATTTGAATTATTTATTAAGAAGATTAACTCTCAATTAAGAGTATTACATTTCACTACATTTGATAATATATCATTTCTTGATGCAAATCGTTGGCAAAGATTGATTGTACAGTATTTACCACATTTATGCAAATTCGAATTTGAATATGATGAAAAAATTTCCAACACGTTCCAATTAGGGCCACATCATCAACAAATTAACCAATTTATATCATTATTTTGGCTCCAACGACAGTGGTATTTACACTTGCAGACTGATGCATCACCTTTTTCTAACAATCGAATAACATATTCGATTCATTCATACAGGTAAAGAGATCAAAGAATCATTTGTTTTCTAAATTTATATTTGAAATTTAGAAAAAAATGGTATCATTTATGTCAACATATGAAAAGTGATGCACATTGCCAACAAGATAATTCTGTTGATATGACTTTACAGAATATTCAAAATCATGTTATTCCATCTTCTCAAAGTGTTGAACTTATTGCAACCAATCATTGTGATTTCGAACAATATCAATCTTTTATTGAAAATATTAACTCTTTATTTCAATTAGTGCAAATTACTCATTTGAATATTGATTTATGTTATTCATCCATTGATTTATTTATTGATTTCATATATCATTTACCTTATCTTGATTCATTGAGTATGTCTTGTTTGCCAATATCAGAATTGAATATTTCATCCACCACACGATCTAAACTTCAGTTAATATCCCAGAATAATAGAATTACAAAAGTGAATCTTGAAAAGTTGATAGAAATCAACCAAATTCAATTTATCATTAATCTTTGTTCACGTATGGAATTTTTACAAATCGGATGTACAAATGATATGGATTTTGAATTGTTCATACGTTTTATTTTAATGAATTATCGAGCTAAGTCTCTTCATTGTATTTATTTATTGTGTCTTCATTTTCCAACAGCAGACAAGAAGACGATTAAAAAAATACGAAATATGATTAATTCGGAAACACTGCTCAATTATTATTCAATTAATCGTATACTTGATAAAATTTATTTACACTGGAAATAATAAAAAGAAATTATTCATCCGTGAAATAGTAATGCTTCCTATTATACTCAAGAATCAGCTAAATCTTAAGTGTAATCATTGTAAAATTTTATGAAAACAGACAATATGGGTGAAGACGAGGAAAAAATCCACACCGACATCTCTATTTATTCTTTTGAACTTTTTGTGAAACACGAACTAAAATGAGTGTTGAAGTAAATAGGATTGAAATTTGCACTCCTCACCACAGACCATGGTAGACGTTATTGATATACGATCACAGATCGCATATCAGTAGCGGCTCGTTGCAATATATTAACTACCTCCTTGATGTATTTCTGGAGGATTAGGTAAAAGAAGGCGGTTTAATTCTGCAAGGCTTGCGCTAACAGCTTTTTCATATACTCTTATTCTTATCTCTTTCGTCAACTTAAAGAATTTGACAGAATTCGAATATTAGATCAGTCAAAATGTCATGAAATCCAGTCTACTAGATTTTCACATGCAGTTTATAATCACTTGTTTTTCTGTTACTTTCTCTGGGCGTTCAGTTTAAAAATTTTTTTTAAATAAAGTACTTATTTATCTAACTATATTGTTATTTGTTCTCAATAAACAAAAGTTTATTAATCAGATGCATCAAACAAACAAATGAAATAGACAGAAATTACAATAGTGGTGAGTGCACTCACTAATAATCGAAATTTTATATTTCCTCGCTATGAAATTTGTTTTATGCACCTTCCCAATCTTGGAACTCTTGCGCAGCCACTACTAGCAATAGGTGCTAAGATCAAACTCATTTTGGTTGGAATCTAAGCAAACTTTCATAATTGCAATAGTCTGCTGTCAAAAGTTGTCTAAATTCTTTTAGTGAATTCTATTATTTCATGGCATTTGGAATCCAGTAATAAGAAAATCGTCGAATTGTTAGAAATTCTAATGTATTCAAGTAGCTTTGCAAATGGAATCTGACAAGATTCGAGTGTTCGACCGCTCATTCTAATCATCTATCTGGAAAAAAAGCAAAACATATATTTTAGATGCATAGAATTCTATTGAACACAAGTGAAAGCAAAAGAAAAAAATGTGAATATTCAATGCTAATGCCAAAGGAATAAATAACATATACAGAACGATTTGCTTCCGAAAAGAACATCAGCTATGTTGAATAGCAATGAGCACACTTGTTGGAAAACATTAGATTTACTTGAGATACAACCAAATCCGAAGAGAATTGATTTTCTTTATAAAACTATCCCCTTATTGCTAGTTTAATTGTTGATGTGAGTATCACTGTACAAAGTATTTTTGTTCTTTGTCAGCATTTAAGCAGCCGATATATATCTTTCATACTTGCCATTGATTTGTAAATGATGAATAATAGGTTTCTGATAAAATAATGACACATATTTATAATTAAAATGTCTTATTTTTTGAATATTGATTAATTTTAAATAAAAAAAGAAGTTTCTGTTATTATATGTTGATTTTCAAAAAGTAGAGTAGTAGATCTTCTGATTTCTGTTGTCAGATCTGAAAAAGAGAGAAATACTCCAGCTGCCAAGTAGTAAGATAGAAAAAGATTGAAACGATTTATTAATGAAAATTGAAAGACTTTATATTTTCTAATAGTTTCGTGAACGAAGAAATACGAAGAATTACTTTTTGTGAGCGGTTGTATATCATTTACAAAACATGAGTATGAAAAACTCGAGATAGTTTAATTTGGAAGCTGTCGAAATTCTTTGTCATAGTTTTTGAGAACATTATATTGAATAAGAATAGATCGAATGAATTGGCTTTTTCTTTAAAATAGTTTGCTAGTATCATTCTGATGATATTCAATTTAAGGCTGTGCACATGCAGCTTATCTAAACGGCGACACATCATAAATAACTGGAAAATATCTCATTTAGTCAAACTAATTTTTAACATTAGTGGAATTGTGAACTAAGATTCCGACAGAAGCTTGTAAAAGATACTTCTAAGCAATAAAGTTTTCTGCTAGAATTCATCATCTTTTATCCTGTTTTATTTTCTAATGTATCCATACTCTAGAAAGAAAGTCGTATTGTAGGAGATGCCAATAATAGGGTTTTCAACATGGCCGCCGAAACCTTTTAAGGATTTTTCCAAGTTGAAAACAGGCATCAAAAGTTTCCAAAAATACTATCATGTAAAAGACTTTAAGGATTTCTGAAACTTCGGATGCCTATTTTTTATTTTTAAATTGGGAAAACTCTTAAAGGATTTCCGAGATCATGTCGGAAATTCATCCGGCATAAAAATGTTTCAAAGCCCTAAATTTTTGTGATTTCGGCAATACGGATTTTATTGCAGAGTGCATGTTTTCAATCTGTACCAGTCAATCTAATTAGTTGTACAGATTATGAATTCATTCTTTTGCGATCTGTGAAAAACGTTTTAGAATATTCTTCAAGCCTACAATGCGTATGTGACATTGAATATTAAAAAAGCTGTTTTTTTTTTCAAACCAATGTGTTTTTATTCCGTGAAACATTATATCTGCATAAATTAAAGTAAGGATAAAAAGATATACCGTAAAAAAATGCATCTTTTTACAGATTAAAATGCACTTAGCATTGAATAGTGGCCAAGTCAAGGTTTGCAAGTAGAGGGTGTGAGCATGGTTCAAAGAATATCCGCACTCACACATACCCAAATGTGTCCTCAGTCACACCGACATCAGCACTCATACCCTTAGATGTAATCGTGTATCGTTCAGGAAATCATACTAAAGAAGTAAAAGGTTTTTTCAAAAGCAGTAAGTTTTTAGTGAATTATGTCTGAAAGAATGCTTGTCCGTATTTTTTCAAGTGTTTTTTTTGAAAAATATTTTGTGAATTTCATATCATACGATGCAGTTGAATGCACCACTGATTCTAAATGTCATCTTGACATTTCTTCGAAGTGTTATATGGACATTTGAAACAAGTTCCAAGCCATAGGTGCGGTTTTTGGAAACCTATGGAGAAATTCAGAAAAAACTTCACCAGCTAGTACTACTACCATCATTAGAATACATATGTACGCGTATCTGATAAAAATTTGAGTTCGATTAGGCGTTATTTCTTCGTAGACTTTGAAAATCTGAGGCAGGAAGTTTTCAGGAGCCAAATTCAGCATTAAAAATAGATCAAAAATTTCTGAAAAGCTTGTCATGTATATATGATTCGATGTAGCTCGATGAGCGGATCTTGAGTATCACTTTAGTTTTCCTCCAAAGTGCGATATAGATCCCTAAAGCCGGATTTTCAGAGAAAATGTTCAAACTTTTGGGAACGTATTTAACTAATGTAGAATAGATCTTAGAAGTTGGCGCTATTACTATCAATGCGGTACACATATAGGAATATGTGATAGAAACTTGAACTCGATTGGATGTTAATCGATTGTAGTATTCACAAAATACAGAATGGCGAATCGTTAGATATGTTTTCGCCGTAGGAAGCCTCCCTTTTCTCCTCTATTTAAAATTCAAATAGGATTAGGGTTTTTTTGAGATAAAACCCACAGACGAGCTATGTTTTTATGATGCTATTCGTTTGTAGAATATTGCACTATACTACCTAACACTCTCCGTTTCTTTATTAATGTCGATTTATGGTCTTAACTTTTAACATGCTATTTTCCAGGGCTCTGTAAAATTTTGGAAAATACAATTGAAAGAAATGAGAGATCATATATATATGCTTATTCAACCGCTGACATTTTGTAAAACAAGATGTTCGTATATGAACGTCTGGGTTCCCATTTTGAGTCAGGCAACGAGATGGAACTTGAGAGAAATTCAGCCAAATGTAAAATTGATGGGGAGAAGCATCTCTTTTCCGATCTATTCTCATATAAGAATATCGTTTGGTCCATGACAAACCAGTTCTTCTGTAAATATGTTGGATCTATTAAAGCTGCACTCGTGTACCGATTCGAAAAATGGAAACATCCTGCCAAATATTCACCTTATCCACATACTTTCTGCTACGAAATGCTCGAATGCGATTAGAGCTTGTTGTGCTCTGACCAATGTGATATGTCACAACAGTGTGAACATGGCAAAGATGGATTGCCATCAATTTAGCTTCGACAGAAAACTTTACTAGCGTTTCATGTATGACAAAAGTTGAAGTAGCTGTCAAATAATTATAACACACGTCAATGGTGTAGCGGTAAACACATTTGTCTCATAAGCAAAAACTGCGTATTCAAATTTATCATACTTCTATTTTTGCGTTAACATATTCTGTCTAATATTTGAACAGCGCCATTCGACTCCTGGTTGACGTTGATTTCTTTTTCTTTTCGGATTATTGTATAGTACGTTGTGTAATATTCTCTTTCTGTCTGTGTCGCAATACATTTCGAAATAAAGAACCAAAAGAAAAGCATGTTCTGTTCTGCTTCTGTTTTTTCTAAATCGTATTCAAACTTTTTATGCACAGTAGAAATTTTATGTGATTTCTATATGTATATTATTCTACCATAAATATTCGATTGCTTTCTGTTCAAATTCTTCGATAATAATACACGACTTCTTTGTCATAGGTTTCTGAGTCTATGTCGAATTCGCTCAGCACTTTGTTCGACTGCCAGTGCAGTATTTTCAAATATTGCCATCTAGAGCAAGCGCCAATGGTGTAGTGGTTATCATGGTTGCTTGCCAAGTAACCGACTCAGGTTCGAATCCTGGTTGGCGCATTTTTTTTCATCTTTACATTGAATTAATAGAAATAACTCTTAACAAACCAATTTCGATTTACACACTCAATCATCCTTAGAACACGCATGCATACTAAATATAAGGCCTTCAAATTCATATCACTGTCGATTGTATGACTCTGAGAAATGATGACAAAATAAGGTCTGTATGAGTTGTGCAATCGTTTGAACATGAAAAATGAAAAGTATGTCAATATACATGTTTTGATTAGTATTTTATTAATTTGTCAGTCTTCGTTGCTCGGACATGATTTTCTTGTTGTCGACAATATTAAGTATAC